ATGCAATTCCGTGTATTTTGTAATAAGCAACAAAAAACAGACTAATACACGCCCGTTTGCAGTCACCATGGTAACACTCACCATGGATTTTCCATTGTAAAACAGAGTTTTACTTAAGAATTCTTTGGAATAAAACATTAAATGTTTAAACATAAGAATACTCTTATTTTAAAAATATTTAATCATTTACTGCTAAAAAATATTTAATGATTTACTAACTTAAGGGTAAATTGTAACCAAGAACATTCTTTTTCTCAGGGAAAAAAAGTGTTTCTTTTCACTAGGAGTTTGTTATTATTAGGAGGAAGAGGAGGAGGGGTTTTCTTCCCACTTGTTTTTTCTATTCCTGTGAAACAACGAGTTTAAAATGTGCCCATTTATATTTTTAACAACTTTCTGAGGCTTGGCTTTAAAACACATTACCGTACACAACATACTTCATAAATACCAATATATTAATCTTACTTTTTAAGCAGCAAAAACACTGGCCCCCAAATAAGAAAAGCAGAATATGTTGTCACACTGTGCTGAGACCGCCAGTTTGGAACTCCAGGGTGTGCATATGAACTGCGGTGTGGGAGGCCTCCAAGGGGGGGGTCCCAGGGGCTGGTCACGGCCCAGGGGACGTAGGGGCCTTTGCCTGCTGGGTGGGGGCTCATGGGGTGGGTCTGCTGCCTGGTCACTCCTAGACAAGCGTGGGCAGCGTGGGGGCAGGGCTTAGGTAGGTGTTTGGAAGGAGACACACTCCTGCTCCCAGCCAGAGGAGAGAGGGGTGGCTGGGTCTGGAGGAGAGGATGGCAAAAGGCTTGGGGACCCAACAATGGGAGCAGGTGTCCTGTTTTTCCCAAAAGCCATCAGCTCACGACACTTAAAGCTCTCGCCTCTGAGCCTGTGGCTGAGCAGGGAGACAGGGTGGCCAAGCTCCGTCGGGGGCAGCTTCCATGTGCCGTGGGCAGACCCCAGGAAAAGTGAGTGGGTTCCTGGTGCTGTCCAGGGCTGGCGGCATGTGGACGTGAACACTGTACACTCAGTGCCCTGCACAGTGGGAGGAGGCAGCGGAGGAAGCCCGCAGGGGAGAGACGGGGCTGTTGGGCGAGGGGGTGACAGGCCAGGCAGCCCTGCCCCTGAGCTCTGGCCCCAGAAAGGTGCCCAGGAGCGGTGGGGCTGTGCACTGGGAGCGGGGCGGGTGTGGGCAGAGGAGCAGGGGCAGGAGGCAGGGCCGACAGGCTCCACACTGGACTGCAGCTGTGGGCACAGGGCAGGGTCGAGGACTGCTCTGCTGATCTCCCCCTGCCCCCGTCCTGCGAGTCAGCAGAGCAAGGACAGAGATCACGTGTCGCTGGTCCGCGCTGTACCCACGTGGGCGGTGGTGAGGGCAGCGGGCAGAGTCCCGGCGCCTACCACTTACCCAGCAGACGCACGGACTATAACCATGCCAGTAATATGACATTTACGTTCTTATCTTGTTTCAATGCCTTTTAAATACCATAAGAGAATTTACCACCACAGTTTAGGGGAGTCTTACTTTCTCAAGCGTTGATGAAAGATAAAGACATTCAAGTGTATCATTTTAGCCAAAACCCCTAAAGTTCAAACGAGGGCTAGCAATGGCAACGTGCCACTTACATGACTTACAGGACACGGTACTGGGTGTAAGAGAATAAAAAGAAAAGGCAACGCACGTGTCCCTTGTTTTAATGACTCCTGAACAACTCCTGACGCACTCACGCAAATAGGAAGATTTATCCAGAATAATAAAAATAGTAAGGAATGACTGGTGACCCGAAAGTATAAAACATTATGGCCAAAAATGGAGGCGGGGTCGGGGGCAGGTGAGGGGCTGCAGGTGGATGTGCCATGCATGGCACACGGTGAGCCTCAGCGTGCTTCTCTGAGTGCATAAAGCCCTGTCCTACTAAACAGAAGCACGCTGTGTTAGAACTATCTTTTATAATTCTTTTGATAATATGGTAGATCAAGGAAATAAATTCATGTGGATTTTAGGAAAAAAAAAAAAAAAACCGGGGGCCTTGCAATTTCTTGGTGTATTTTTGTACCTATATCCTTCACAGGGAGTGTAAGTAAAAAAAGAACATTTTTTGGGCAGCTGGCCGGTGTGGGAATCCTAACCCTCGACCTTGGTGTTAGAACCCTGGGCTGTAACCAACTGAGCTAACCCACCACCCCAAGAACCCGTTTTCACATTTCAAAACGTTTTAATTATAGGGTGTCTCTTACCTGGATCCTCGAGAGAGTGGCATTAAATTATAAAAGTAATAAACTAAGGACAAGATCAGGTTGCAGACAGCATCAGCCTCCTAGGAAAGAAGACACGGGTCAGAAACTCACACGCGAGATGACAGGCTAGCTTTTTATCGGGTGACAAGGCACATAAGAACCGTTCACATCAGGAAAAGGATGGCTTCTTCCTCTCCTGTAAGAACCTACTTTCCACATTCTTGAACATTCCACACTCTCTTGTGTCATTTTTCCTAGTGAAGGAGTTTGTACAGTTCAATGTGGGTCATGTTTCCCCTCCAGCTCTCTCTTAAATGGTAACCTTTTGATAAACATAAAACTCTGTGTCCTTCGATGCTATTTGAAATGTCAAAATATATACTGTGATTAAAATTTTAAAAAGCACTTATTCATACCAAATAAGCTTTCTGGAACAACACGTATCCCTACCCCGAAAGGTTCAGATAAGCCCCCGCCCCACACTCTGCACAGAGATTTAGATGACACATATGCTCAATTACGTACATAAATTCAGATGCTCAGTTACGTACGTAAACTGATTAAATGTCAGAGAAAGAAAGTGATTTCTGAGGGTCCCAGGCTTCCGTTCAGGAACACAGGGCGGGGCGTGCTGGGAGAGGGCACCCGCCACACTTGGCACAGACCAGCGAGGCCCCGCGGGGGGAGGCCCACCCCAGTTGGGGCAGATGCCAAGGGAAGAGGCCTGAGGCCAGGGAAGGTCGCTGAGTGCAGAGGGCACACGGCTCCAGTGCCCTCAGTGCCACGGCCGACCAGAGCGCAACGCTGCTTACATTACGGACCAACGTTCTCGTCTAAGCCTCATCAGGGCCCAGACTCACAAGGCGGCAGCACGGTGCTAATGACATAAACTACACGCTTACCCACTCCCCACTACTGCAGTCACCAAACATGGAGATGTTTTCCCCATAAGAATATTGAGAAATATTTATAGGCCAGCTCGATCTGGTTTCGAGCATAAGATATACGATCTCAATGAGAGGGCAGAGGTTTTATTTAACACGTTTACAAAAGAAGCACAGGAAGAATTAAAAAGGAACGGAAACAGAGACCTACCCCAAATTCTGACGAAAGAATCAATACTTTTCCTTTTGCTGTCAGATCTTTGTAAAGGGCATCTATTTCAGCGTGATATAATTGCGTCCTCTCTTCTGTGGTTTGAGTTTCCACTGAAAACAGAATATTGCCAACTCTGAAAATACAAGAACGAGGGTCAGAGGCGTGTACAATACAGTTCAAACAGCCAGACACAGAAAGTTTTTTAAAAAAAATCACACAGCACTCCAATGCGGCTCTACACACCTAAGCACACGCTCACCTCTCTAAGCACAGGCAAGTGCGCTTTTCCCACCCTTAAGTGAGCACAGACTTGTCTGCTCACAGAAAGTCTAACCATATGACAAGGGTACTGCTTGTGGAAAAGCAGAATTAGAAGACAGTGTGACCAATCTTTCCATGAACCATTTGAAATTCCCTTGCGTGCACTTACGTGAGCTTAAGATAATAGATGGGAAACAACACACATGGTAAAGGACGCGTGTAAACGTCCAGTGAGCATTTTCCCAGACAGCTGCCCCATGCGGCCTGCAGAGCAGGAGCGAGATCGGCTGTAGGAAGGCAGCTCGAGGACCTCACTGATTTGTTTTCTTAAGCCTCGGTGGCATGCTTAGCTGCACAGAGGCCCTGCGGAGGACTAAGTTGGATGCGACAGGTGTTTACTGTACAAGGCCATTGGTAAAGCATTGCACTTGGCTCTCAGGCTCTACAAAGAAAAGCTCGGCCGCTGCCTTTACTGAGGAAGTCAGGGAGAAGCGAGGCCACAGGTTACCACATTAGAGCACGGCCCATCAGGGGCTCAAGAGGGGAGAGCTCAGGTCTGATCTGGAAGACATGGTAAAGGCAGGAATGTTTCATGGGAGAAGAGGCCTGCACGTGGGTCCTCAGGATCCGGATGAGAGTGGGCGGCCCAGATGCTGGAACGTGGAGTTGAGCTTGGGAATGTGCTGTCCACTCGGACCAGCAGGCCAGGCTCCACCAGGCAGACAGGCCAGGTCGAGCAGCAAATGTCATTTGAGGACACATTACTGGGGGCCTTGATGCCCAGCAGGAAGCTGGTTTGGGCAGCAACAAGCAATGACAGGATACAGAGAGGAGAGTGGTTTGGGGGGCCAGGGAACACCCAGCGGAGTGGAGCCTTAGAAAAGCTGGTGATGCAGGGGACGGGAGATGGGAGAAGGGACACCAGTCATGAGTCGACAGGGGGTCAGAAGGCCCAGGGTTGGGAGGTGGCAAGTGCAGAAACGGGCAGTGGAGGACAGATGGCATGTTTCAGGGGGACTTCCACGCCCTCTTATTCAGCAGCTCCACTTCTACCTGGAATTTGATCTGACGATACACATCAGGGTGCGTGAAAAGGCAGGAGAATAACTTTTACGCTAAATAGCACACCCTGCAATTCCTGTGGGGGATATGACCTTTACCGGGAAAGTTTCGTTGATAAGAGGCTTGGGGTAGAGAGGGAGACCTCAGGGATGTGGAAAAGCTGCAAAATCTGGAAGTAGATGTGTGCTAACCTGCTGTTCACTCATGAAGGCCTGTGTAAGTTGTGACACGGAATAGCAGAGGTGGTCCCTTGTCGTTTGAGTAAAAGCACACGAGAAAGTCAGAGCCCAAGAGGCAGAGGGACTGGGCGTGTGAGCCGTGGCCCTCGCTGATCTAGTGGAAGTCACGGGAGGGCTGTAAGCCTGTGCGGGCTCTGGAGGAGAGAAAGGGGTGTGGGTATATTTGTGTGTGTGCATGTGTGTGTATATTTGTGTGTGTGCATGTGTGTGCATGTGTGTGTGTGTGTACACAC